AAATTGTCATAAGATTTGTTAAGTGCTTATTAGCACAGTGGGCTATTACTAAATATTTGCTAAGTAAATATAAGTGCTTTATTCTGGAGCAACACAAGAAAATTAGAAAAGGAAACAGAAACATAGGATTTGACTATTAAAAATGCATGAAATAATTTTTTTTTTTTTTTTTTTTTTTTGAGACGGAGTCTTGCTCTGTCGCCAGGCTGGGGTGCAGTGACGCTATCTCCACTCACTGCAACCTCCACCTCTCAGGTTCAAGTGATTCTCCAGCCTCAGCCTCCTGAGTAGCTGGGACTAGAAGCATACACCACCACGCCCCGTTAATTTTTGTATTTTTAGTAGAGATGAGGTTTCACCATACTGGCCAGGATGGTCTCAGTCTCGATCTTTTGACCTTGTGATTCACCCGCCTCAACCTCCCAAAGTGCTGGAATTACAGGCGTAAGCCACCTCGCCTGACCTGAAATAATTATTTTGGAAAAGAACGTGATAATAACTAAAGTCGAATGTAAAAAGACCTGGAGGTTGTGACTAGTCTGACAAGCTTCCACCTAAGTGGACTTTGGAAAAGTATCAGCCTCTCAGAGCCTGACACTCCTGTCAACCAGAGGCCGGTCCTGATGATCTCTAAGATCTTTCCAGCTCCTCAGTTACTCATCAAGAAAATGAGTGGAGGCAGTCATCATGAACTAAGAGGACGGAATTTGCAGTCAGGCTCTCTTATTCTCCAAAAGGAATGCTGAAATTTTCTATGCCTCTGAATTTCATCTAACATGTTTTTAATGTCTATCAGCCATGTCTCTGAGGTTCACATTTCCTGCAGTCATTTAAAATAAATAATTAAGGCTCCTGATGAGTTTTTAAAAGAGCCAGCTGGGTTTCTGTCATTCATGCCATCATAGCGTCCAGAACTTCTTTGGCCACGTTATATAGCGACTCTTTATTAAACACCTACTTATATGTCAGGCACTGTAGTAAAAACTATCCCCAATGCTCCAAAAAAAATCTGCTAGGTATATATTATTCTTCCTCCTTATCTTTTACAGGTTAAAAAAAAGTGTCAGGGCCAGGCACGGTGGCTCATACCTGTAATCCCAGCACTTTGGGAGGCTGAGACAGGCGGATCACAAGGTCAACAGATTGAGACCATCCTGGCCGACATGGTGAAACCACATATCTACTAAAAATACAAAAATTAGCTGGGCGTGGTGGCACGCTGTAGTGCCTGTAGTCCCAGCTACTTGGGAGGCTGAGGCAGGAAAATCACTTGAACCCAGGAGGCAGAGATTGCAGTGAGCTGAGATCATGCCACTGCACTCCAGCCTGGCTACAGAGCAAGACTCCATCTCCCAAGTAGCTGGGATACAGGCACGCACCACCACACCCAGTTAATTTTTGTATTTTTAGTAGAGACGGGGTTTCACCATGTTGGCCAGGATGGTCTCAGTCTCGATCTGTGAAAAAAAAAAAAGAAAAGAAAGAAAAAGGAAAAGAAAAGAAAACCAAGGCTCAGAAAGGCTGCCCTGCTGATTAGTGGCAGGGCTGGAAGGTGAATCCGGCATGTTTGGCTCCAGAGCCCATGTTCCTTTTGTTAAAGATAGATGCTTGACTTTCTTTACAATCGATCATATTTCTTCTTACTTGTATAATGAAAGATCATTAGCTTAGGTCATCTAAAACAAGGAAAACCTAATTTAGTGAAAAATCAATTTTGAATGTTTTTTTTTCTAGTAATGGTATAAGCAATTGAATATTTTTTAAATGATTACTTTGTGTTTCTAAGAAAAGGTTTCTTCCAAGGTCTAATAAAATGAATACTGGGCATTAAAGCTATTTGCATTGAGCAGCTTATGCAAACCATGAGTTAAAGCCTTTAAAAGACATTGATATTCTTCACTGCTGCATCCCCAGTGCCCCGGTTCGTGCCTGGCCTAGGGTAGGCATTTAAGAAAGCATACTGAATATCATTCTCCTCAAATCTTGTTTACCAAAATACTGTACTAACAAGGGTGCATTCCAACAAGATTAATTATTTGAAAAACTTCATGCCCCAAATCAGACATAATATGAGTCACTGGTATATCCTCTCTGTTGTGGGTCATTCTCCTCTAGGTCAAATGGCACTATTAACATCAGCAACAAGTAATTATCAAACACCTACAGTATTTATTTAATACAGTATATCTTTATTTAACTTGGTATGCCTTCCCTTCTCTGTCTTTCCTCATCAGTTTTGAGAAGCCTCAGTCAAGTTCCTCCCCAGGCAGGCCAGCCTGTATGTAGTAGAGACTACACAGAGACACAAATGTCACACGTGCTTAGGCAGCTTTTCCAAGCTAAACAAACACAAAAGCTCCAGAAGTTTGGCCTTTCCCCCAACAAGACTCATAACCTACCACCTCTTCCTGGAGCCCTGAAATTGCAACTGTAACATAACCTCTTCCTCAGTCCCTGTCCAACACTGAGAAAATCAGAAATTTCCCCCAACGTCTGTGATACTTATTCCTACTTTAACTATTAATAAAAAAGGCACTGTGTTCACCAAGGAATGTGTAAGCATACACTGCTAAAATTTTCCTTAAAAACTGTATGCGGCCGGGTGCGGTGGCTCAAACCTGTAATCCCAGCACTTTGGGAGGCCGAGGTGGGTGGATCACGAGGTCAAGAGATCGAGACCATCCTGGTCAACATGGTGAAACCCTGTCTCTACTAAAAATACAAAAAATTAGCTGGGCATGGTGGCGTGTGCCTGTAATCCCAGCTACTCAGGAGGCTGAGGCAGGAGAATTGCCTGAACCCAGGAGGCGGAGGTTGCGGTCAGCCGAGATCGCGCCATTGCACTCCAGCCTGGGTAACAAGAGGGAAACTCCATCTCAAAAAAAAAAAAAAACTAAAAACAAACAAACAAAAAAAAAACTGTATGTTCAGGCTGGGTGCAGTGGCTCACACCTGTAATCCCGGCATTTTAGGAGGCCAACGCAGGATTGCTTGAGGCCAGGAGTTCAACACCAGCATGGGCAACATAGCAAGACTCTGTCTCTACAAAAAATTTTAAAAATTAGCCGGAGGCGTGGTGGTGCATGCCTGGAGTCTCAGCTACTCAGGAGGCTGAGGTAGGAGAATCACTTGAGCCTGGGAGGTCAAGGCTACAGTGAACCATGATCACGTCATTGCACTCCAGCCTAGGTGACGAAGCAAGACTCCATCTCTAAAAAAACAAAAACAAAAACTCTATGTTCATAAGGGTGCAGAGAATATCTGTGTACTACAGGGAAGTGTACAGAATGAGTTTCTGTTCCATTACCTTACCTTCCTATGTAACTTGTCCAAGTCACTTATCTTCTCTAGGCTTTAGTTTCCTCAGCCATAAAATGAGATGTGGAACTAGATCAGGGATTATTCACCTAGTTCCAGGATGCCTTGAGGAAATCAGGCATGTGCTTCAGGGTTCATAACTCCTCCTTCCTCTCAAACTTATATAAAAATTACCTGTTTGCATACATGAATTTTTCCGGAGATAAAATCTATAGCTTATATCAAATTGTGTCACAACTGTGATTCAAAAAATAACCATAGCTCATGTTTTATTGAGCACATACTTCATCTTAGGCACTGTGCTAAGTCCTTACATATATTAATTCATGTAATACACTAATATTTTTAAAATTTTTGTGTATAACATATACAGTAGTATATATATTTATGGGGTACATAAGATATTTTGATACAGGCATGCAATGAGAAATAAGCACATCATGGAGAATGGAGTATCCATCCCCTCAAGCATTTATCCTGAGTTACAAACAATCCAATTACTCACTTTAAATTATCTGAAAATATACTTTTTGTTTTGTTTTGTTTTTTGAGACACAGTCTTGCTCTGTGGCCTAGGCTGGAGTGTGGTGGTGCAATCTTGGCTTACTGCAACCTCCGCCTTCTGGGCTCAAGCAATTCTCCTGCCTCAGCCTCCCAAGTAGCTGGGATTACAGACGTGCACCACCATGCAAGGCTAATTTTTGTATTTTAGTAGAGATGGCGTTTTACCATGTTGATCAGGCTGGACAAGTAGTAGGTCTTATTCAATTTATTTTTTTTTTTGGTACCCTCAAAGTAGATACTGTTATTATCCCCATTTTAGAGAAAGTAAATCAAAAAGAACCCACGCTCTTAAACAATGCTATGAGAGGTGAGATCATCTCAAAGCCCTAAAATTCTATGTCCTTTCAAATTATACAAGTCTCCTCTGGTTAAATTCTCTGTTGTGTTCTGCAATCTTTGGTCATGCCCCAAATACTATTATGTCTTTACACAAAACAACACCTAGATTACTCCTATCTGAAAAAAATCTCATGGAACAGCTAGATTACTACTACCTGAAAAAGAATATATTAGGTTAATCTGAGAAAATGGTCCAAAGGCACTTTCCAGCACCAGTCTCCAATGTGCTTTTTCTTTTACTACGTGGTGATTAACCAGAAGACGGATCTGGGTCTAATTACTAATTAAAGTCTAAGATCAAAGTAGCAGTAAATATAGCCAGAGTGTCAGCCAGGAAAAGGGGAAGCAGTGGCAGGAATAGCGTCTCACACACCGCTTACCAAAGCAATGAGAAGATCCAGAAAGATACATCAGTGCAAGCCTGGGTGTCCCGTGTTGACTGACATCTCCGCTCACCCCTACCTCCTGAAAACCACTGACCACTGTGCAGACAAGCCCTGGATCACTCTCCACTTGAGATACAAAGACTGGTTAAGGTATTAACCATCACCAACTCCAGCACAGAATAAGCAGTGAAAACTAGCTCCAATTTTTGTGGCCACTGGTTCTGACAACCCGCTACTGGAACACGGAATTCACTCAGCTACACCTGAAAACTGTTTTGCCGTCCAACCTCCTCACGCTAAATTACCCAGCGACATAACATTAAGGCTGCAAAGCAGAAGCGGACGTTGTTGGTTCTTTTCACAGGCTGTCAAAAAAAACCTCCACATCTTAAAGGGAAGGTTGCGGAAACTTTATCCCCAACTCTCATGACCTTTCTCCAATTAGGCTGTGTAATAAGAAGAAAGGCAAAGGAGGGGGAAAGAAGTCCGGAGGAAACGGCCCTGGGTGCTGGCCTTTTCCAAGGGTGATGCAACAGGGTCAGACAGAAGAGGAGGAGGAGGAGGTGGGAGCTCCTGGGAGAGAAAAGCAGTGTCGGCGATGGAAATCTAAGTGGGGGACTGGCTTAGCAGGACGGGTGGCGGGGTTATTTAGAACGGGAGGGGCACAAGGTCTGGGAGGGAAGGGCGGTGAGACGCCCGGAGGAAGGGGCACGGACCCAAAGGCCAGAGGAAGCAGAGGGAGCACAGAGGGTTCGGGCAGGCAACGGTGGGCTTCGTGGGGGCCTCGGAAAAACGGTCAGGGGAGTACGAGGTGACCTGCTCGGAGGTGTGGGAGGTGGGGACAGCAGGCCAGGAGAGCCCTTGAGGGGAGAGAAGAAGTCCAGGGGGCTGTTAGGGTGGGACAGAGACGCGCGGCACCGGCGCCAGGGCAGGAGGGCCCAGGGCGGGGGAAGCACAGAGCGGCGACAACGGTCGGCGACGGCGGGCGCGTGGGGAGGCTGTCCGGGCTCGAGTTGAGGCAGGGGCTGACACGGAGTCCCGGCTCGGGGCTGGAGAGAGGGAGGCCGGGCCCGGAACGCGGCGTCAGGGAGGAGGTCGGAGAGGGTTAGGAAGGGCCCGGGACCGCCGGGGGCCGGCGCTGGCGCTCTCACCGGGACAGGTGTTTCAGGATCTGCTTCTTAATGATCCCGGCCATGCCGGAGCCGCTGCCCGCGTGGAAGGCGGTGGGCGGGCAGCTGTGGCCTCTTCAGTTGTGGAAAAGAGGCAGCCCCCTCACCTCGCCGCGGCGTGACCACCGGACGCCGCCGCTGCCGCAGCCGCCATGGCGCTCTCTCTCCCCTGCTCGGGCGCCTGGCGCTCCGCCACGATCCCACCCACCCGCGCGGCGCCGCGGCCGCCGGCCCAGAGCGACGCGAAGATCGCGCGCCACCCACCGGCCTAGCTCGCGGCGGCCAGAGGCGCGCGCTGCGAGGGGCGGGGGCGCGCGTAGCGCCTGGGGGGGCGGGCTCGAACCTCCTCCCTCCGCGCTCTCATCTCCCCATCTGATCTGAAAGGCTCCTCTCGCATTCGGCAGTCGCCTAGAAGCCAAGGGGAAAGGCAGGGTAGTTGTAATTTTTGCAGAAATTCATTAGATCATTGCGCAGCTCCCGGATGCCAGCGGCTGCCTCTCATTTATTTCCCTCACACATTCACTCAGTATTTCTTGAACACCAGCTGTACTCCAGGAATCAGGCTGGGGACTGAAAAGTAGTCTCAAGGACCTCGCAGACCCGGAGATGGGAGACGCAAACCAACCGCTGCGGTCAGCTGCAAAGGGCTTTGTGCTGCAGAGCTAGGAAGGGGACTCCCGTCAGTCAACCTCTTGGTGCCGCCCTTAGCCTCGGCTCCTGAACCGACAGGCAAATATTCACTCAAGACCTGAGCGGCGCACTGCAGAAGCACCCCCTCCCAAATGTGGGGACAGAAGAAAATGAGACGGTCAATTGTTAAAATGACCCAGGACTTCAGAGATCAGCTTCTTCACTGTGCAGATACGGAAACGGAAGCCCAGGGAAGTAAGAGCTTTCCCAAGGTCACCTACTTAGGGCCACCCAGGACTAGAATCCAAGTGTTCTGACTCCCAGTCAAGTGTTATTTCCACTCTATTTCACCCATACGCTTAAAAGTGTAACCCACATGCCGGCGACACCCGTAGACCCAATGGCAAAGATGGAAAGGTGACAGTTCTCTGGACTTAAGCCTTCAAGCAAAAAGGGGGGGAAAGAAAAAAACTCTTGAGACAGCCTTACAGGAAGTCTGGCGACCAGCTAATATTACATTTTAAATGTAGTCATTCTTGTGTATATGTAATATAAAACCAAAGGCAATCAACCATGTCTGTCTCCCCAGTCCCTCAGCCATTTAGGGTGCTCCAAAACAATTGTTTCCCTCAAAACAATTACTCCCTAATTCCAGAGACAGTCTAAGCATGGCAAGGCATATAAATGTTAAATTTTAAAAATAAATAATCAGGTCAGTTGCGGTGGCTCTTCCCTGTAATCCCAGCACTTTGAGAGGCCAAGACAGACGGATCGCTTGAGCCCAGGAGTTCAAGACCAGCCTGGGTACCATGACAAAATCCTGTTTCTACAACAAAAAATACAGAAGTTATTCGGGGGTGGTGGCACGCGCCCGTAATCCCAGCTACTTGGGAGGCTGAGGTAGGAGGATCCCTTGAGCCTGGGAGGCATTGGTTGCAGTTAGCTATCACACCACTGCACTCCAGCCTGGGAGACTGAGAGAGGCTGTCTCAAAAATAACAGACCATGTATTCCTATGCCTATCCCTTGGTCATAGTAAGTTCAATTTTTCCCTGAAGTCCCCAAAATATTACATAAAAAGGCAGAAAATCATCCTTGGCCCAGGTGCTTGACTACCCACTCCCCTCCAGTAGGACTGAATATTAATTGTCCCTCTGCCCACCTCTCACCAGAATATATAACAGGGACCAATAGGGCCTATGGAGAAGAGGTTTTTTGCCAAGGTTATTGGTCATTGTTGCTTTTTCCCAATTCAGTCCTCAGCCAGGGGGGCCACAAGCAATTTTTGCATTTCAGGCTTCCTTTCCTGGAGCACCCCAGCAAAGGAGATTGGACATCTGAATCAGCTATGTAAGGCAAAACCTACCTCATGCTCAGAGACTCAGCATCCTCACTGAATGCGTCATCACGCCTGGTGAATGAGTTATTTTTGTTGAATGCAAAAATTCGTGCTCTACAAAAATATGGCCTCTTTAGGGACCAGGAAATAGGAGAGTTGATAATCTCACCAACAGTATTAATGTGTTTATCCTTCCTTGCAATTCTAAGGATCCAAGACATACAAAGACAAAAGAGATCTGAAGCCAATCCATTTTTTTCAAATTAAACATTTTATATTGAGATGATTATAGATTAACATTCAGTTGTAAGAAATGATACAAATAGGCTGGGCGCGGTGGCTCATTCCTATAATCCTAGCACTTTGGGAGGCCAAGGCAGATCACTTGAGGTCAGGAGTTGGAGACCAGCCTGGCCAACATGGTAAAACCCTGTCTCTACTAAAAATACAAAAATTAGCTGGGCATGGTGGCACACACCTATAGTCCCAGCTACTTGGGAGGCTGAGGCAAGAGAATCGCTTGCCCAGGAGGCGGAGGCTACAGTGAGTGGAGATCATGCCCCTGCCTGGGTAACAGAGCAAGACTCTGTCTCAAATAATAATACAAATAAGTTATTGTATCCTTTACCTAGTTCTCCCCAATAATAACATCTTACAAAACTATATTGCAATATCACAACCAAGATATTGACATCAATGGACAATATACAGAACATGTCCATCACTGTTGCCCTTTTATTTTTATTTATTTATTTGAGATGGAGTCTCACTCTGTTGCCCAGGCCGGAGTGCAGTGGTACAATCTCAGCTCACTGCAACCTCCGCCTCCTGGGTTCAAGCGATGCTCTTGCCTCAACCTCCTGAGTAGGTGAGATTACAGGCATGTGTCACCACACCTGGCTAATTTTTATATTTTTAGTAGAGACTGTGTTTCACCAAGTTGGCCAGGCTGGTCTCGAACTCCTGACCTCATGGTCCACCCACCTAGGCCTCCCAAAGTACTGGGATTACAGGCGTGAGCCTCTGTGCTGGCTACTGTTGCCCTTTTATAATCACCCCAGTCTTCCTCCAGTACCCACCACCTCCTTAACCCCAGCAACCACTGTGTTCTCCATTTCCATAATTTTGTAATTTCAAGAATGTTATAGAAATGGAAACATACGGTACATAACCTTTGGGGATTGTACTTTTTATTAATTTAAAAAATTAATTTATTTTTAATTATTATTTTTAGAGATGGGGGTCTCACTCTGTTGTTGCCCGGGCTGAAATGCAGTGGCACAATCATAGCTCATTGCAGCCTCTACCTCCTGGCCTCAAGTGATCCTTCCTCCTCAGCTTCCTGAGTGGCTGGGACTAGAGGCACGTGCCACCACGCCTGGCTAACTGTTTTATTTTTGGTAGAGACCGCATCTTGCTATGTTGCCCTGGCTGGCATTGAACTCCTGGGGTCAAGCGATCCTCCCACTTCAGCCTCCCAAAGAGCTGAGATTATCGGTGTGAGCCACCATGTGTTCAGCCTGATGGTACTTTTTCCATCAGCATAATTCTCTGGAGATTCATCCAGGTAGTTATGTATATGAATAGTTTGTTCCTTTTAACAGTAGTATTCCTTTTAATGAGTAGTATTCCATGATATAGATATACCACAGTTTGCTTAACCATTCACCTGCTAAAGGACATCTGGGCTGTTTTCAGTTCATTATTATTACAAATAAGCCTGTTATAAATATTTATGTATAGGCGTTTATGTGAGCATTAAGTTTTCATTTTGCTGGGATAAGTGCCCAGGAGTGCAATAGCTGGGTTGTATGGTAGTTGAATGTTTATCTAAAAACTGCCAAGCTGGCATTCAGATGACTATATCATTTCACGTTCCCACCAGCAGTGTCTAAGTGATCCAGTTTCTCTGTATCTTCACCATCATTTGATGTTGTCATTGTATTTATTTTAGTCATTTGATAAGTGTGTAGTGATAGCTCATTGTAGTTTTGATTTGTATTTCCCAAATGGCAATGACACTGAATACCTTTTCACGTGATTTGCCATCTGTATATCTTCTTCAGTGAAATCCCTCTTCATATCTTTTGCCCACATTCTAATTGGATTTTCTTTTTTTATTGTTGTGTTTTGAGAGTTCTTTACATATTCAAAATATTAATCTGTTAGATATGTCATTTGCAAATATTTTTCTTTTTTTTGAGGCAGGGTATCACTCTGTCATCTAGGTTGGAGCGCAGTGGCATGATCACACCCATTGCAGCCGTGACCTCCAAGGTTCAAACAGTCCTCCATCTGAGCTCCCCATACCAACCCAAATAGCTGGTACTACAGGCATGTGCCATCACACCCAGCTAATTTTTGTATTTTTTGTAAAGATAAGAGTTTCACCATATTGCCCAGACTGGTCTCAAATTCCTGGGCTCGAGTGATCCATTCACGCTGGCCTCCTAAACTGCTGGGATTACAGATGTGACTCACAGCACTGGGCCTTGCAAATATTTTCTCACAGTCTGTAGCTTGTCTTTTTTCTTCTTAATATGTGTTTTGTGTCCAAGAGTGATCGCTCATGACTGTAATTCTAACACTTAGAAGGCCAGGTAAAAAGATCACTTAAAGCCAGGGATTCAAGACCAGCCTAGGTAACAACAACAACAAATTAAAATTAATTTTAAAACCAGGTGTTTTGCAGGGCAATAGTTTTTAATTGTGCCCAAAAAAATCAATTTTTTATTTTTTGACATGATCTCAGCTCACTGCAACCTCTGCTTCCTGGGTTCAAACAATTCTCCCTGCCTCGGCCTCCAGAGTAGCTGGGATTACAGGTGTCTGCCACCACACCCAGCTAATTTTTGCATTTTTTAGTAGAGATGGGGTTTGGCCATTTTGGCCAGGCTGGTCTTCAACTCCTGACCTCAGGTGATCCACCCATCTTGGCCTCCCAAACTGTTGGGGGATTACAGGTGTGAGCCACTGCATCCAGCCAAAATTCAGTTTTTAAATGTTTCTTTTTCTGGATCATGCTTTTGTTATCAAATATAAAAACTCTGCCTAGCCCTACATCCCAAAAATTTTCTCATTTTTTTTCCTAAAACTTTTATAGTTTTTTTTATATTTTACATTTTGTCCATGTGACCCATTTCAAATCTGTTTGTTTTTGAGATGGAGTCTGTCACCCAGGCTGGAGTACAATGGCATAGTCTTGGCTTACTGCAACCTCTGCCTCCTTTTGAGTTCAAGCGATTCTCCTCCCTCAGCCTCCCAAGTTGCTGGGATTACAGGTGCCCAACACCATGCCCAGCTAATGTTTGTATTTTTAGTAGAGACGGAGTTTCACCATGTTGGCCAGGCTGGTCTCCAACTCCTGACCTTGTGATCCGCCTGCCTCAGCCTCTCAAAGTGCTGGGATTACTGTACAGGTGTGAGTCACCGCACCTGGCCAAGAGTTTAAGTTTTATACTTCACTGAGTATGAACATTGCGAATGGCTTCCTTTCTAGATGCTTTCCCTGAAAATATGCTACTTTTACAGCCTAGTTATATAACAAACAGAATTCTATAAACACCTTCTGGGCCAGGCGCAGTGGCTCACTCCTGTAATTCCAGCACTTTGGGAGGTCAAGGCAGGAGGATCACTTTGAGCCAGGTCAAAGCTGTAGTAAGCTATGACTGAGCCCCAGTCTGAGCAATAGAGACCCTATCTCAAAAAATAAACAAATAAAAATACCTTCTGTAACATAGAAATCTGTGTAATTTTACCAATGCCACAGAAAATTTTCAGGCCAGGTGCAGTGGCTCGCACCTATAATCCTAACACTTAAGGAGGCTGAAGCAAAAGGAATGCTTGAAACCAGGAGTTCCGGACTAGCATGGCCAATATCGTGAGATATTATCTCTAATTTAAAATTGTTTTTTTTTTTTTGTTTTTTTTTTTTTGAGATGGGGTCTTGCTGTGTCACCCAGGCTGGAGTGTAATGGTGCAATCTTAGCTCACCACAACCTCCGCCTCCCGGGTTTGAGTGATTTTCCTGCCTCAGCCTCCTAAGTAGCTGGGATTACAGGCATGCATCATCATGTCCAGCTACTTTTTGTACTATTTATTTTATTTATTTATTTAGAGATGGAGTGGAGTGCAATGGTGCGATCTCGGCTCACCACAACCTCCGCCTCCTGAGTTTATGCAATTCTCTTGCCTCAGCCTCCCAAGTAGCTAGGATTACCAGCATTCGCCACTACACCTGGCTAATTTTGTATTTTTAGTAGAGACGAGGGTTCTCCTTGATGGTCAGGCTGGTCTCGAACTCCTGACCTCAGGTGATCCGCCCGCCTTGGCCTCCCAAAGTGCTGGGATTACAGGTGTGAGCCACTGTGCTTGGCCTAATTTTTGTATTTTTAGTAGAGATGGGGTTTCACCACACTGGTCAGGCTGGTCTGGAACTCCTGACCTCAGGTGATCCGCCTGCCTCGGCCTCCCAAAGTGCTGGTATCACAGGTGTGAGCCACCATGCCTAGCCTTAAAGTTATTTTTTTAAAAGGAGAAACTTTTCAGATTATTTGAGCCCAAGAGAGAGGGGAGCTGAGAGAAAGGAGAAGCTGAGGTTAGGACAGTTCTTGCCATTCTTGGCTGACATGCACACACACGAACTATTTTCCCCTACTTCAGCATAAAAGACTTAAAATTTTCCACTTACTATACAAAGTGCTATTCATGTGAAAAATTAACCAAGCTGTTTAGTATTTTAACCAACAAGCTCTACAAGTGCTAGATTTAGTTCTGCACAAGATGACTTTAGTAAATAAAGGGAGGATGCCCAAAGAGATTTACTATAGCTAAGGAAAAAGAATCTCATGCAGAGGACGTGAAGAGATAATGAGTTAGAGAAACAGAGCTGCAATGTTACATTTCCTTTTTTTTTTTTTTTTTTTTTTAGTGCTTATTTCACTGCATCATTTCTTTTATACACAGAGAAGACAGAGGGGAGGAAAAAGGGAATACACTTTTAACTAAAAGAGTTGACAATTTTATTTTCACATTTCCCAATACAAATGAAAACTGCATCTTTTTTGCCCCACCTCTCCCCTCCAAAACTATTCTCTTTGATCAGACAGGGGAGCAAGTCTTCCTTATGCTGTTTAGAAAACCCAGCATCACAGCAGCATGATCTCCTGGTGAAGCACAACAGGTAATATAAAACTGATAGAATGAGGCCTCCCCTCTATCCTTATCTGTCTGGTCGAGTCATTCCAGGCCGAGTGGGCACCATCATGGGACGGGCAGGAGGTCTCATCATTGGGGGCCCAGGCATCATTGGCATATGGCCTCCCATAGGTGGCCTCATTCCAGGAGCTGCAGGATAAAACAAAGAAGATGGAAAAAAGGGAATCAGAAAACACCATTTAGGGAGAGTTTTATGGGACTTCAATTAAAAACAAAAACGTAGCCCCCCCCTTGCAAAATGCTGGAAAAAAGACATACGTGACAGAAGAAATGTAACAAATTTATCACATCTGTAAATTACTTAGACATTCTCAAACAAAAAACAAAAAGGTCAACACAAGAATCATATGGGAATCATGATGTAATGACAGTAAGGGGGAAACTACTAACAGACTGCTTTCCAGAAATCACCAGGGACACTAGTTCCCTAAACTGACCTTTTTTTCTTACTCAGGGAAATTCACAACTAAGTCACAGGTTTTTCAGTCAGCTCTTTTAATCAGTTATATCCACTATATAACCAGGAGCTATTTCATGAATGTACACAGGCACAGAGGACAATCTTACCACTAAGCGTTTGTTCGGAGTTGTAGGAAAGGTGAGCAGGAGGCCCATGCTGAGAACCTGTTAGTAACCATACTTAGCTCAAGTCAATAAAAATAATAGGCAATAACGTGATTTATAACAATTAGTGCACATAAAAATCTGATTTTTCTAATGCATTTCAGAAACTATTAATGAATGTTTTTAAGTGTCCCATCAATAAACCAGCTAAATAAATAAGCCAGGGAGGGGAAAGCAAGCAGAGGGGTAGGGGAGGAACACAGGCAGTTTCAATGGAATTGATAATGTTCTACTTCTCAGCTGGGTGGTGGGTTCATGGATATTCATGTTACTATTATGCCCCATAATTTCATGTTATTGATATTATTTTTAAATATCAAATTTTACCAATTTATTTTTAACTAAGTAATTTTGAATAAAGGTTTGCAGCAAAGGGTACAAGAGAAAACTATATTCAAACTTGAATATAGCCTTATCACAAATGGTGAAACACAAAAATATGCAAAGACACAAAATCCAACAGGTACAGAATTTAAGACCAATTTAAACAGGAACAGAGAATACTACTAACTTCTAAATACCACATAAAGGCCCATGCTTAACCTATATTTAAGAATTTCTTAGAAGAAATGGACGGACATAAACCAAAGATTAAAAACTGGGCACCTGAAAACTTGTTTTCTTTGGTCTCCATAGCGAATTTACTTTGAATCAGTTGGTAACATTGGGATTTCATACAGAAGTCTAGATTCCTTTTTCTTTTAAATTTTTTATTATGAAAATGTTCAAACATACACAAGAATAGTAAAGAAGAATATAATGAACATCCATGTATCCATCATCCAGCTTCAACAATTATCCACTCACGGACAACTTTATCTATAATCCCACCCATTCCTACCCCAGTCCAACCTCCAACTACTCAATTATTTTAACACAAATCCCATAATCTTATCATTTTATCCTGGCTTGAAAAAACAGAAAACAAAAAGCAGACTCAGGAGAAAAGGCAACACCAAGCCTTATTCTCAAATGTCAACCATAGGCTGAAGTTGAGTTCCAGAAGCCTTCTTTAGATGAATCATGCATTCCTCAGTTACCGCATCCCTAAAACCTCTAAGAATTTGAATTTGTGACCCTGATTTCAGATGCTAAAGCCACTGAAGTCATTTGATTTTGTTTTGGGCTCACAAGTCAGCAAGGCAGGAACTCTCTATCTATACTCTACCCGATACCCACAGCAGATATACTGATAATTCTGGCTAGGAGGCCACTCTAATAACTTTGCGGCTTGTATTTCCAGAGTAGTTGGAGGCGTCGGCCACAACTGTTCCCAAACTTGATTCTGTCAGCTGTAGTTATTACTCTAATTATATATATAATTTAAGTTTTCTGCAAACCAATTAAATGAGTGTGAAAAGAGAACAGTTTCTAAAACTAACGATACTTAGACTCAGATAAATCACCAAAAAATATTCAAAAATTTTGTAGGCAAAATAATAATAAAAGATTGGAACTAGGACTCAGATCACTTGAAAGAAATGAAACTAAAGTTGGTGAAGGATGTGTTACAGTTATGGCTTATTGGTTTATGCAATAAATATATAGTGTTCCAATCATCAGACACACTCTCAAAGCAAAGGTCCTATTCACATATCAGAAATATTTGCAAATTGATGTATGTTTAAATTTACATTAAAATAAAGTGTTTGAAGCCTAAGTTTTTCCCCCTTCCTAAATAAAAAAACAACTACCAGGCTGAAAGCCTTTTTAATATAATGATGAGGCCAAGTTAATCTGCAAGATTAAATAAGCAACAAGTGGCTCTGCTCCAAATCAAAACTGAGAAAATGTAATGTATCTATAATCTTCCCTCTCCCCTCAAAATGGAACAAGCTTATCTACTCTTCTCTTCACTGTACATAAATGGCCAAAAGCCAGGATGAGGCAAGTAAACAGAAGAGAGGAAATGAAAAACAGAGGCAACCTATCCTGCTTTTAGCAGCACAAGGTCACTGGATACCATTCCATTATACTGATAAACCAAGTATTTCTTTTTGTGTAAATTACCGTTACTGACTGACCAAATTTAGTTTGTTACAATAGTACAGGTGGACAGCTAATTAAGAATTCCATTAAGCTGGAAAAAAACACAATGGAGCAACTAGAAAGACAGACATCTAAACTTACCAGGTCCCACTGGCATCATCCCAGGAGGAGGAGGGCCCATCATTGGCATCATGGGAGGGCCCCCCATATGGGGTGCTGGCATCATACCAGGGCGAGGAGGACCCGCTGAAATAAAGAATGGGGCCTGTGGTTAAGGTGTGCTCACATATTAACATTTTCTCTTCTTAATCAAACTAAAAGGATCTCATGAACTCCTTCAAATTTTCATGGTTTCTTTTTATAATAGCAGATCCACAAAAATCACATGCCATAAAACATTGATCTACAAATAAAAAGCAAGAACAAGCCTGCCTAGACAGAAGAACAAAGTTAGATTTACTAGGTTAAGAAAAAACTGAGATTTTAATTAAAAAAAAAAAAAAACGGGGGGTGGAGAGGTTGTGCCTTCTGTAGAGCTCCTGACAAAAAGCTGATGAACTTAGGCCACAAGTATCTAATTTCAGATGCCTTTGTAAAAAATGAAAACATGGTTTTAAAAGAGTCTTTGGAAATACAAAAACTTATATGCAGGGATATTCCTGACAGTATCATTTACAATAGCTAAAATTTGGAACAATTGAAATATCCAATAAGAAAAGAGTGAGGTAAATTACGGTACATTCACACCACAGACTATTCTGCTATCAAAAATAATCGAGTTGAGAGCTAGTCAGTCAAGGCAGAGTAGGAGAGAGAAGAAACCCTGGAGTTGCTATGGGCTGAGGCCTGACCAGGTCCCAGGATGTCAGGCGTCCAGAAAAGGTTTGGCAGGCTATTAGCGATCCACCTACATTAGTGTGCAACTATTACAAACAGCCTGCTTCCCTGGGTTTATACCCGTGATTGTGTGCAAGATTGAGTCTAGGTCTCTGAATGTGATTTCAGTCTGAACCCTCCCAAAAAAGCCACAGTACAGTACGACCTAGTACAGCACTCAGTCTCCTCTTGTCTGCCACACAGAAACAACAAACTTTCCCAGAAAGCTGGGCCTATGATCCACTCCACTTACCCACTTTCAATGATCTAATTCTTACCTTCTGCTTTGTTTTTTTTTTTTCCAGACAAAGTCTTGCTGTGTTGCCTAGGCTGGTATGCAGTGGCACAATCTCAGCTCACTGCAACCTATGCCTCCTGAGTTCAAGCAACTCTCCTGCCTTAGCCTCCTGCGTAGCTGGGACTATAGACGTGCACCACCACGCCTGGCTAATTTTTGTCTTTTTAGTAGGAACGGGTTTCACCATGTTGGCCAGGCTGGTCTCGAACTCCTGATCTCAAGTGACCCAGGGGCCTTGGCCTCCCAAAGTGTTGGGATTACAGGTGTGAACCACCACACTCAGCCTAATTCTTACCTTTCATAAGATACAGATTTTGGTGTTAGGTGGGTTAGAAAATAGGGCAAAAGACTAAGGAGTTTATCACCAATTTCAGTCCTCCAGTGTGCTGTGTTCATAGCAGTATATAATTTACCCAGCAACTCCTATTCATATATTAGCTCATCTAATCAGAGGTTCATTCTGAGCTTTCTTTCCACTTAAATCTGTCTCAGATTCACACTTGGGATGCCATAAATACAATATCTTAGTGACAATGCAATCAAAAGTTAGCTCTAAAGTTATTTTAGAAATTATACCACTAAAGTTGTTTTCTATTACTACCTGCATCTATATTCAACATTTACATATTGATACATTTATATTACTATCTACATATAAATGCAACAACATCTGAAAGCCAATGGTGAGATAATCTAACATAACCAAAGGATACCCTGCCCAGTCACACCCCTTAAAAGTTTAAACTTACGAAGACTTGGGGGAGGTGGTATCATCGCCCCTGCAGGAGGAGGAGCAGAGAATGGAGTAGGAGGTATCTTTCCTTGTTGAAATGCAGCCGCTTTGGAGATGAGGGTGAGGGAAAAAAAAAAAAAAAGATGAATACGAATTCAACAACCGAATAACTAAAATACCACTTTCTTTTAAGTCTGTAATGGTTCCAATTACTTTACTCTTGCTAGTTTTTGTTTTTTTTTTTTAATCTATTATACTTTAAGTTCTGGGGTACATGTGCAGATTGTGCAGGTTTGTTAATAGGTATACACATGCCATGGTGGTGGTTTGCTGCATCCGTCACCCCATCATCTACATTAGGTATTTCTCCTAATGTTATCCCTCCCCAATACCCCCACCCCCTGCTATTCCTCCCCACTAGGCCCTGGTATGTGATGTTCCCCTCCCTGTGTCCATGTGTTCTCAATGTTCAACACCCACTTACGAGTGAGAACGTGCTAGTTTTCATCTAAAGCTACTATATCATGGTTCTACAGTTTTAAAATCATTTTCAGGTATTCACCAGCTAAAATTGCAATTAATTGGTTTGTTGATTTACATTTTCTACTTAGCAGTTCTATGGTTAAATTAAATAAGGGAGACTGGAGTAAAAATTTCCTGTGTATCAATGTCTTTTTTTGAGACAGAGTCTCACTGTCACCCATGCTGGAGTGCAGGGACAATCGCAGCTCATGGTAGCCTCAACCTTCTGGGCTCAGGTGATCCTCTCACTTCATCCTCCTGAGTAGCTACAGGTGCACGGCACCATGCCTGGCTAACTTTTCTACTTTTTGCAGAGATGGGGTTTCTCCCTATTGCCCAGGCTGGTCTCAAACTCCTGAGTTCATGTGATCCACCCACCTTGGCTTCCCAGAGTGCTAGGATAATAGACATGAGCCACCACACCTGGCCCTATCAATGTCTTTTACCAAAGAGGAACAATCATCTTTAATTTGTAGATGTGGTTTATAACCAATTCAAGCCATTCATAATTTTGTTTGAAAAAGTGTAATACATGCCCAAAAAGCTGGCCTTTATAAAATTTCCATCCTTCCTATGTATGCTGTCCTAGGTAAAAATAATATACCATGTTGGTTTACCAGTTTGGAAATCAATGCACTAAACTAGGAGATTTAAAAGAAACAAAGATTTCAAACTATAAGCTTGCCCCAAAAAAGATTATGATTTTTTAAAAGTCTAATACAATCAATTTTTATTTTATTTTATTTTTTTCAGATAATGAGGCACAAGAGAAACTGAAGATCATCTATATTTTATTTTGGAATAGAATCACAAATAAATTTTAAAGTACACACTAATAGTCTATTCCTGACATCAGTTCCCGCCAATATAGTGCTGTCTACAGGTCATCCTACTTCACTCCGACCAAGCCAAACGAAGTCATATTACTCAAGTCAATTACTGATGATTCACTGGATCATATCCAAAAAAGTGACCTAGCAGAGATTTATGAAAAGCTTATTATCCATATTGCCTCTGAATAAAGCCTGTGGATCTCAGAGATTATATCCCAATATGGACTTTTCAATCAAGAAGGCCTCTCTCACATCCTTTGTAGGAGGATGGCTTCCAAAGGCTGAAGTGGGGGAAGCAAAGTTACTGGCTCAGTAGCAGATTGTCAACATAATCACGGATTTCATGAGGTGTGTCCCTGAAGGGCTCCCCCTGTCTTCTCAAAAAATCCTCCACTAAAAATGTTTATTCTGACTAGCCTTAAAACAAAAACAAAAACATGTATTCAAGCCGAATGCAGTGGCTCATGCCTGTAATCCTGGCACTTTGGGAGGCTGAGGCAGGAGGATCTCTCGAGCCCCAGAGTTCAAGACTAGCTTGGGCAACATAGTGAAACCCCATCTCTACAAAAAATAAAGATTAGCTGAGCATGGTGGTGTGCACCTGTAGTCCCAGGTACTTGGGAGGCTGAGGGAGGAGGAATGCTTGAGACCCGGAGTTCAAGGCCACAGTGAGTTATGATTGGGCAACAGAGTAAGACTCTATCTCTAAAAAAATTAAAAATTAAAAAAAAAAAATTTATTCATCCTCAACTCTTTTTTTTTTTTTTGAAGACAAGAGTCTTGCTCTATCACCAGGCTGAAGTACAGTAGCATGATCTTGGCTCACCACAACCTCTGATTCCCTGGTTCAAGCAATTCTCCTGCCTCAGTCTCCCAAGTAGCTGGGAGGCACCCGCCACCATGCCCAGCTAATTTTTGCATTTTTAGTAGAGATGGAGTTTCACCATCTTGGCCAGGCTGGTCTTGAATTCCTGACCTTGTGATCCACCCGCCTCAGCCTCCCAAAGTGCTAGGATTACAGGCGTGAGCCATGGCACCCTGCGAGACTCAGTCTTTAAAAAAAAAATTGGGGGCCGGGCGCCGTGGCTCAAGCCTGTAATCCCAGCACTTTGGGAGGCCGAGGCGGGTGGATCACAAGGTCAAGAGATCGAGACCATCCTGGTCAACATGGTGAAACCCTGTCTCTACTAAAAATACAAAAAAAAAATTAGCTGGGCATGGTGGTGCGTGCCTGTAATCCCAGCTACTCAGGAGGCTGAGGCAGGAGGATTGCCTGAACCCAGGAGGCAGAGGTTGCGGTGAGCCGAGATTGCGCCATTGCACTCCAGCCTGGGTAACGTGAGTGAAACTCCGTCTCAAAAAAAAAAAAAAAAAAAAAAAAAAAAAAAAATTGGGGCCAGGAGTGAAATAAATAAATAGATTAAAAAACTGGAATCAGCCATAGTGGCTCATACCTATAATCCCAGCACTTTGGGAGGCCGAGGCAGGCAAATCACTTCAGGTCAGCAGTTCGAGACCAGCCTGGCCAACATGGTATAAAACCCCATTTCTACCAAAAATACAAAAAAGTTAGCTGGATGTGGTGGCATGCACCTGTAGTCCCAGCTACTCAGGAAGCTGAGGCAGAAGAATCACTTGAACCCAGGAGGGGGAGGTTGCAGTGAGCCAAGATTGTGCCACTGCACTCCAGCCTGGGCAACAGAACAAGACTCCATCTCAAAAAATAAATAAAATAAATTTTAAAAAATTGGGACAACGTCTGAGATTCACTCCATAATAATCCAGGAAGGAGAAAGGCAGTAGATGACAACATTCAGTAGCTCTCTCAGCCAGAAACAATTTTGCCTCCCAGGGACACTGCACAATGCCTGGAGATATTTTTAGTAGTCACAACTGGAGGTTGGTACTGGCATCTACTTGGCAGATGCCGGGGATGTTGTCAAACATCCTGCAACTCACAGAAAGACTCCCATAGCAAAGGATCATCCAGGCTTAAATGCCGACAGTATCAAGGTTGAGAAAATTAAAATAAATGCAACAAGAGTGCTACAGTTAAGCGATGGGAAGTGAAGGGTGAGGAAATTCAGAACTGGAAATTCATTAAGCTTGTCTATTTTATTTGAAAATTTTCACAATAGTGTTGCCTTATTATTTATTAATTATTATTGTTTTTCTGAGACAAAGCCTCACTCTGTTGCCCAGGCTGGAGTGCAGTGTAGCGGCACAAACTTGGCTCACTGCAACCTCCACCTCCTGAGTTTCAGCGATTCTCCTGCCTCAGCCTCAGCCTCCCAAGTCGCTGGGACTACAGGGATGCCCCACCATGCCTGGCTGAATTTTTTGTATTTTTAGTAGAAATGGGGTTTCACCATGTTGGCCAGGCTTGTCTCAAACTCCTGACCTCAGGTGATCTGACCACCTCCTCCTCCCAAAGTGCTGTGACTACAGGCATGAGCCACCACGCCTGGACAGTTTTGCCTTTTCATTATTTTTTTTTAATTTTTTTAAATTAAAAAAAATTTTTTTTTGAGACAGAGTCTCACTCTGTCACCCAGGCTGGAGTACAGTAGTGCGATCTCAGCTCACTGTAACATCCACCTTTTGGGTTCAAGCAACTCTCCTGCCTCAGCCTCCTGAGTAGCTGGGATTAGTAGTGTGCAACACCATGCCCTGCTAATTTTTGTATGTTGAGTAGAGACGGGGTTTCCCCATGTTGGCCAGGATGGCCTTCAACTCCTGGCCTCAAGTGATCTACCCATCTCGGCCTCCCAAACTGCTGGGATTACGGGCATGAGCCACTGCACCCAGCCTTTGCTTTTTCAAAAAGGCACATTACAAAGCCCATATGGCTGACCAGCTCAGAGTACAATGAATGATTAAGAGAGGCCATGATGCCAAGCACAGTGGCTCACGCCTGTAATCCCGGCACTTTGGGAGGCCAAGACGGGCTGATCACAAATTCAGGAGTTCAAGACCAGCCTGACCAACATGGTGAAACCCATCTCTACTAAAAATACAAAAATTAGTTGGGCATAGTGGCATACGCCCATAATCCCAGCTGCTTGGGAGGCTGAGGTAGGAGAATTGCTTGAGCCCAGGAAGTGGAGGTTGCAGTGAGCTGAGATGGCGCCACTGCACTCCAGCCTGGGCAACAGAGTGAGACTCCATCTCAGGAAAAAAAAAAAAAAAGAAAAAAAAGGCCGTGGTTCAAATATACCAGGATGATCTAAAGTAAAAATGCAACATCCCCTTCTGTTAGTGCCCTGGACCCAACAAGCCGGAACAACAAAATGTTCCTAACAAAAAGAGTATAGGATGTACAACAGGGGTCTAAAATGTATCGACTATTTTGTTACATCAAGTAGTTTCTTTTTGACTAGTACTCTGTCAGAACTACAAATAAGAAATCTAAATATGGTCTCAAACTATTTGGGCAAAACCACAAACCCACTCCCCACCTGCTCCTATTAGATAGGAACACACTTCTAAAACCTGTGGATTACTACAAAGGGGCTTTATATAAATTTGCTACAAAATCTGGTCCATGTCCATAGATAAGTGTTAGACAACTCCATTCTTCTCTGCCTCACTTTGCCATCTAACCTTATTGCTGTCTCTGATTGCTCTAACCTCAATAATGTGTTCCTATATCCTTGGGAAACCAGTGACCTTCCACTTATTTCATTCAACATATCCAAATGCTCCTATTTATCATTCAGAATGAGTTGCCTCTGTGAAAACAACAGAGACAGGGACAAAAAAGAATAGGACCATTTTATCACATCAGAACAAGAGACTGAAACATACTTGTTTTGTCTATCAGGCTCTGAGCCTGCTCTTCCATCCATTTCTGATAGTAGTCTTTCACATTCTCTTTGTGTTTCCTACCACTGCAGTGTGTCTTTCTCACAGATGGCTGTAAAATAAAAAGATCGTATCAGATGTAGAAACAAATGTCCAACACTAAAACTTAAAGGTTTACCTTTATATAAGCACCATTAGCTGGCTGCTACAGTATTACTTATAAACATTATCCAGCAATGTACTGTGGTAAATTTTTTTACTATATTATCTAGACCAGAGGTCCGCAAACTATGGCCCATAGGCCAGCCACTGGCTTTTGTGTTGTTTTTTTTTTTTTTAAAAAAAAGGCCAGGTGCTGTGGCTCACGCCTGTAATCCCAGCACTTTGGGAGGCTGAGGATGGCAGATCGTTTGAGGTCAAGAGTTCAAGACCAGCCTGGCCAACATGGTGAAACCCTGTCTCTACTAAAAATATAAAAATTAGCTGGGCATAGTGGCGGGCACCTGTAATCCCAGCCACTTGGGAGGTTGAGGCAGAAGAATCACTTGAACCCAGGAGGAGGAGGTTGCAGTGAGCTGAGATTGTGCCATTGCACTCCAGCCTGGGCAACAAGAACAAAGCTCCATCTCAAGAAAAAAAAAAAAAAGTATTGGAACACAACCACATTTATTGCTGTCTTTTTTTTTTTTTTGAACAGGATCATGCTGTTACTCAGGCTAGAACGCAACAGCACGATCTCGGCTCACCGCACCCTCAACCATTCAGGTTCAAGCAATCATCCCAGCTCAGCCTCCTGAGTCCCTGGGACTAGAGACACGAGCCACTATGACCAGCCAACTTTTTTTTTTTTTTTTTGAGATGGAGTTTCACTCTTGTTACCCAGGCTGGAGTGCAATGGCGCGATCTCAGCTCACCGCAACCTCTGCCTCCTGGGTTCAGGCAATTCTCCTGCTTCAACCTCCTGAGTAGCTGGGATTACAGGCATGCGCCACCATGCCCAGCTAACGTTTTTGTATTTTTAGTAGAGATGGGGTTTCACCATGTTGACCAGGATGGTCTTGATCTCTTGACCTCGTGATCCACCCGCCTTGGCCTCCCAAAGTGCTGGGATTACAGGCTTGAGCCACCGCACCCGGCACCAGCCAACTTTTTAATTTTTTGTAGAGACGAGGTCTCACGATGTGGCCCAGGCAGGTCTCAAACTCCTAATCTTGAGTAAACCTCCCACCTTGGCCTCCAAACGTGCTGTGAGCTGACTGGTGGGAGCCACAGAGCCCAGCACATTTATTTCTATACTGGCTATGGCTTCTCTCTACAAGGCAGAGTTGAGTAACTATAGCAAAGGTGTCTGTCCCCAAACCTAAAATAATTATATTCCAACACATTAAGAAAAAAATGTGCAAGTCACTGATCTAGAACACAAGGCCATTTTAATGCCCTTTCTTAGGTTATTCCATGGCAAAATAAGATAGCTTACATATAGTTAAATAACACTATGAAAATATGTTCTTGTCAGTGACTAGGGTTCTAGAGTATAAACTCTATACAAATCACATACAGAACTTTGTCGATAGTCCACTAGTCCTTTTGTTCTTTAATAGCTTTATTGGGGAATAACTGACATACAATAAGCTCCACATTCAACCTTTTTTTAAGTTAACATTTACTGAACACTGACTATGTGTCAGGCACCCCACTATGTACTTTACAGTGTCTCAATCTTCATGAAAATCACATGTGCATGTCACAACAGACTACTATTCAGAAAGAACAAACCACTGACATATGCAACAGGAATGACTCTCAAAAACATTATACTGAGTAATAGAAGTCACACATACACATAAAAACTACAGGGCCAGGAACTGTGGCTCACACCTTTAATCCCAGCACTTTGGGAGGCTGAGGCAGGTGTATCACTTGAGGTCAGAAGTTCAAGACTAGTCTGGACAACATGGTGAAACTGTCTACTAAAAATACAAAAATTAGCTGGGCAAGGTGGTGAATGCCTGTAATCCCAGTTAGGAAGCTGAGGCAGGAGAACTGCTTGAACCTGGGAGACAGAAGTTGCAGTGAGCCATTATTGCACCACTGTACTCCAGCCTGGGCAACAGAGTGAGATTCTGTCACAAAAAAAAAAAAAAGGTATCTACTATATATTGCAGATTGCATTCCCAGGAAGTTTGAAAACCAGTAACACTAATCTTTACTAAAGAAAACCAGATCAATGGAGGTTAGGGGTACAGGAGCCTAACTGCAAAGGAACACAGGAGAGCTTTCTGGAGTGATAAAAACATACTGTTATCTTTTTTTTCCTTCTTCTTTCTTTTTTTCTAAAGAAGAATTTTTTTTTTTCTTCCATACTGTATCTTTTTAATTTTATTGTTGGGGATGGCATCTCACACCCAGGCTGGAATGCAGTGGCCTGAACACAGCTCACTGCAGCCTCAGCCGTCCAGGCTCAAGCAATCTTCCTGCCTGAAGAAACACAGATCTCATTCAGATGATCCTCATTGCTGCCTAACTACCTTGCTACTGCTATACTCACTCATTGTTGACATGACTACCTCAGAGGCAACAGACACTGAAAAGAGATTGTCTTTTCAGTCTGCATTTCAAATTACTGCTCTGCCAGCTGGGCAACATAGCGTCTCTTCGAAAAATAATAAGCCTGTCATGGTGGCTAACATCTGTGGTCCCAGCTACTTGGGAGGCTGAGGTGGAAGGGATGTTTGAGCCCAGGAGATCAAGGTTACAGTGAGCCAAGATTGTGCCACTATACTCCAGCCTGGATAACAAAGCAAGATCCTATCTCCAAAAAAAAATTGTTCCTTATCCTCCCAACCACTGTTTACATTAATACAACAACGATGCCTTAAGCCTAAAAACAAAATCATGACTAACAGCCAGGCGAGGTGGCTCACACCTGTAATCCCAGCACTTTGGGAGGCAGAGGCAAGTGGATCACCAGATGTCAGGAGTTCGAGACCAGTCAGGCCAACAAGGCAAAACCCTGTCCCTACTAAAAATACAAAAATTAGCTGGGTATGATGGCTCACGCCTGTAATCCCAGCTACTTGGGAGGCTAAGGCAGGAGAATTACTTGAACCTGGAAGGTGGAGGTTACAGTGAGACAAGATTGCGTCACTGCACTCCAGCCTGGGTGACAAGGGCAAGATTCAGTCTCAAAAAAAAGAATGGAGTGAGCCTGTCACTTCAAGGGAGCAATGGATAGTATTGCATTAAACAAAAGTCAGAATTTCAGAAAATCTTATGTGCCACCATAAGCTTGACAGCTTCCCAATATTTAAGGGTGGTTATGATTAAATTGTGACATTATTAATGTGGGTTTTCATTACCTAATCAAATGTATCCATATTCGAAGCCTGGCACTAACTCAAGTCAATCAACATTTTCCAAATAACCAATGCACATTACAAAATCGTGCATGGTAAAAGATCTACCCAAGTGCAAGATAAACCACTAATTTTTTTTTTTTTTAAAGACTGAGTCTTGCTCTGTCACCAGACTGGAATGCAGTGGCGCAATCTCAGCTCACTGCAACCTCCACCTCCTGGGTTCGATTCTTCCACCTCAGCCTCCAGAGTAGCTGAGACCACAGGCGCTAATTTTCGTATTTTTAGTAGAGATGGGGTGTCACCATGCTGGCCAGGATGATCTCGATCTCTTGACCTCGTGATCTGCCCACCTCGGCCTCCCAAAGTGCTGGGATTACAGGCCTGAGCCACTGTGCCTGGCCAAATTTTTTTTTTTTTTTTTTTTTTTTT